AGTGGGAAAGAACAGGAGTTGGAAGACGCGCCAGCAGCACTTTATAGGTCTGCTGTATGGGGCCGCTTTGCATTTAGAGTGACCTACGATGACGGTGGAAAGTTGTGGATAAAAGTGCAACAGTGTGCAAGCATTGTGCAACACGTTTTGTTTATGCTAACAGCAACACGACCAATATGTCAGGCTAACAATCAACATATACCCAACCGAAAACCGTGACCACGAAACCATGAACCGAACCGTGGATTTTGTGAACCGTTCCACCTCTAAAAAACGAAACTTTAAAGGTACACAGTCATGTCATATTATGCCTATACCAAAAAGACCAACATTCAGTGGAGTATGGGAAAAAGAAAAAAAGGCTATATACTCCAAGTATCTGTCCTGAAAGTGTTTAGTCTCTTTTTTTAGCCTAAATAAAACTTCAGCACCAGGTGTGATGAGCTGACAGAAAGATGTGGCGCCCTCTACTGACAGTACTGCTGTGATTCCTCGTGGATAGGGCTCCTAAGCATTGCTAATATCAGTAGGACTATTAGCAAAGACATGTACTTGCTTGTGTATCAACTTTGCAGCGACATCAACATTTTTCCCGAGCTTTAGTTTATTCCAACTGTCGTACTGTTTTCTCAACACAACTTGAGTTTTATCACTCTTGCAGCTTCTTGTTTCTAAGGGTATAATCCCCATAAAACGAAACAAAATAAATATCTTATAATATATTATTTTATTATATGATTCATTATGTATTCAAAAACGTGTTACTTATGTAATTGATTTTTTAATAATGGAGTATTATTTTGTGACATTTGTATTTTGTAAAGCTACTTTATGTATTCTGTGACTTATTTTTTACCTCAGTTTTTCATTTTATTCTCCTTTTATTTCATGTGTTACCGTGGGGATGGAGGTTGGTTTTAGGACCCCAATGTGGAGATTAGGGTGGTAGAGAGGGGTTCTTGCAGGTTTAATAAAATCAAAAGATAACAGCAACAAAATCCAAGAATCAAACAAAAAGCCAGGAGATGTCAAGAGAAAACTCACATAGGGAGCCCAGTAACAACAAGAAACTGCATTGAAGAACTGCACTGAGACAGAACAAAGACTCGGCTAATCGGCTAATATGGAGCAGATGTGGGTAGAAGTGACTAGAAGGGAGCTAGGGGAAAGGAGACAGGCAGCAGAAAGAAACTAAAGACTGCTTAAATATAACGCAGAATGGAAAATAAACCAAATATCAACAAAACAGAATGAGTTAGATAACTGAAAACTTAAAGCTGAAAAGGGAAGAACCATAGCATCATGTTCTTATATTTAAATGAGGGGGCGAAGTTTTGTTTCAGGCGGCGCAGGTAAGCTTGCAAAATATCAAACAGGAGAAGAAGAAAAGAATTGATGTAGATTTTTTTTATTTTTTTGGCAGAATGCTTCTGATCTTTCTAGATTTATTCAACTAATTTACAATGTCTGAAAACAGAAGCATCTCAGACTTATTGACAGAATATCTGTGCATGATGTGTCCTGGAAATGGGATCCTACCCTACAACTCCCTCTTATTTCTTCTTCGCTAACTTTTTCGGGTTTGGACTCATATATAGATATAGTCAAGTTTCATTTATTTCCTTTCGTTTTAAATGTATGGTATGTAAAGCATAGTCTAAATAAAGAAACAACTAAAATGCAGATACAAACGGTGTGATTATATTTTACTGGACTGTTCTGAGCTTGCCCAATGATGACATCCAGTAGTATCCAATTGGCTTAGAAAAGTCATTAAATCTTTTTTTATATATATTTAGTTAAACATTCTTTTGTTATTTAAGGATAGAAATAGTGTGTAGCAACAGCACCAAACGGAGGGAAGAGGGAATACGGTGGTTGGATTGGTCATCATTCTTGGAGTACCTGTGTCTGCAAAGAAGATGCACTCTGCCAATCCTAACTTGTGACCACCTGACAGATAAAACTTTGCCTCCTTATTTAAATATGAGAAAATTAAATAAAGAGGTTAAAATAAAAACAAGAGTTATGAAATAGACATCACTGAATATGTAAAAAAGCTTTACAAAATAAAAGTATTACAATAATACTTTATTTTGAAATAAATAAATTGATTCTTTACATAATTAATAAAACTTTGAATAAATAAAAAATATTAAAATGTAATTAAATAAGATAAAAATACTTGTACATATTTACTTTGTTTTATTTGATAGGGGTATGTATTTATTTGATAGAATATTTGACAGTTTATCAATAGTAGTATTCATTTATTTATTTAATTTTGAAGGAACCATATTTCTTAAGGTTCAAACATGCAATAAGTCAAAAGGTTTTTTTTCCGCCTCAAGCAGCCGTAGAGGATTAGAAATGTTGGGTCAGTCTCCTTCCCTTCAGACTTGTGTTTTACATCAGTAGCGGATATTCCACATTATCCATAGCTGCTGTCCACCAGTTTTTCCTTATGTCTAACATTTCTACACCGAGTATCTTGCAAGTGATCGCAACCTCTTTTTTGTTTTGTTTTAAAAGCCTGAAAAAAGTATGGAGGGTCTTTCCCGTTAGAAGTCTTTGCTTTGGTGTCCCCAACAGAAATGTGAGGTGACCAAATGCCTTCAAAAGACATCTGGTCTACCTGAGTGTAAATTAGTTTGCAGTTAAATACGGGTGGTTTATCAAGGCTTAGAGGTTTGTTAGACATTAAAAAACAAAATGTCTGTGAACAGACTGCATCAAAAAGACCACATAACACATCAGACAAGTCAAGGATAAAGCTGTGGAGACGTGTCCATCCCTGTCAAAAAAATCAAATAGATCTAAACTAGCTCTAAATGACTTTCTGGACATTTTAGTGTCTTTAATCTTAAAGTTTACATTTAATTTAACTCTTAAAGTTCCTTTTAAGACAGTTGTCTCAAACTGAATTTCTGACGGCCTGTGTTCTGCACTTTTATGATGTTTTCCTTGCACTACACACCTGAATCAAATGGTTAAAATGCTACACTAGCATTCAGCCAGACAATCTGAATAGTTCCTACATTTCTGGAGTCCAGAATAAATACACCATAGTGGCTAGCAATGGAACTTCAGACTGCTACGCCAAATCCTGACACCCTTTTCTTCTTCTTTATGCCATTTTGCTGCAGAAACACAATTGGGACTACAGCTTTCCAGAAAAAGAACTACAAAAAAACACTAGTTGAACTCTGTGAGGTGGGCTGTCATACCTCTTCTCATGCTAAGGATTGTGGGAATCCGTATATCTCCTAAGCGCTAGATGGTAACATTGGTGGACCCTTTAAAACAGGGGTGGTCCTCAAAATCTACTATCCTGCAACTTTTTTAAGCAACCATTTTTAACACACCTGAATCAAATTAGTGGCTCATTACCACGCCTCTGCTGAGCTAAATGAGGGCATTTAAGCTTTAGATTCAGGTGTTCTAGAGAAGAAATACATAAAAAAGTTACAGGATGGTAGCTCTTGAGGACTGGACTTGTGTCCCCCTGCTTTTAATGATCTTTGAAAGGAAACATCCAGCTTCTCATTTCTTTTTCCAAACCTCTTTCTTAGAAGAGCTGTTGCAAATCAACCATGGCTAAAAAGATTTATTCAGGCATCAGATTATTTATTATGATTATTGCATCCATCCCTATCAAAGACCAATAAGTAAAATAAAAAATAGGCCAGACAATGAGCCCTGCTATCAGAGAAGAGGGTCTCATAGTAACTCTGGAGGAGCTGCAGAAATCCACAGCTCAGGTTGGGAATCTGTTGACCAGAGTAATATAACTGCACTAAACAAATCTGCTCTGGAAAGAGTGGCAAAAAAAGCCGTAGTAGAAATAAGGACATTTTTATTATTCCACAAGCTGTGTAGAGAAAACATGAAAAAGGGGGGTTCTGGGTTAGCTGAGGCCAAAAGTGAATTCTGTGGCTAATAATAAGTGCAATGCTAAATGAAAATCTGTCTTGCATTGGCACCAACTAGTTAGTGTTCATGTGGCTGCAACAGATTATAGACTAGGGTTGATGTTATTAATCCCTACTTACTCTGACATAGTCCATAGTTTGAGTTTCTTTTAAACGGAGCGAACTCGTGTTTTTAAACGCCTCAGTCAACGCCCACACTTAAATATAACTAGGAGTCAGTGGCAAGACTTGAAAACTGACGTCTGTAGAAACTCATCATCCATCTTCTTTCAGTATAGAGGTGCAAAGCTGGAAGAAACAAATCTCCAGAGACTTGCAGCTTTAACTGGCGTGAAGCTTGTTCAACATTTTACTGACTCAACAGACTGAGAACAAATGCATGCAACTGCTGGATTTTTGTATAAAACTACATCCTTTTCATTTAGTTTAATAGTTATATGACTGCATATATTTATAAAAATCCACAATAAAATGAAAGGAATACAATAAAAGAAAGGATACAAAATTAAATAAATGCTTTTGTTCTGTATTAAATTTTTCCTTTGACAGTTGGTTTCCGGCTTTTTCCCATCAGTGAGCAATATTATTTGAGAAAAGCAATAATAATAATAATAAAAGAAGAAAATTCTGTGGTGCTGGTCGGAAGTGTAGCTCTTATGTTCTTCTGGGAACCAGAAAGTAAAGCAGGTTTGTTTTTGTTTCTGCTCTTTCAGCAAAGTGGCAGAAAGGAAAGAAGTGATTGAAAAAGGAAGTGAAGCAGCAAGTAGCTTAGTTTCTGTAGCTGCTGGTATGAGACCCTCTTTAAAAAGGATCAAAAGCTTTGCAATTATCAGTAGAGACAAAGTTGACCCTTTCTTTCTGTGTTGACAGGGCCACACAAGAATATTGTGTCTAGTATTATCTGACTTCTTTTCTTAAATCCACAATGATCTGAAATTATACAGAATATTCTATTCCCGTTATGGTTTGCTTTGTTTTCCGGTGTTCAGTTCTTTGCTTTAATTATCAGGATATGTGAAACACAACAGCAAACCTAAAACTTGATTTAATGAACAATGAAAACAAGCAATTAGACATGATGTAAATAGACCTGTATTTGGAGGGAAAACGGCTTTCTGCTTCAAGGCGCAGCAATACTATTATCTTGGAATGTGTCTCCACATGTTGGAGTTAGTATAGATAAAAATAAAGATTATATCCCCACTGTTTTGGGGTTTCTATTCATTCACAGCGATCATCCATTCATTAAGCCTTTTTTTAGCATTTAATTAAACAAAAAATTGAGTTTTTTTCTTTTACAGGCAAGTATGTTTCCTCAAGGCAAGGCAAGGCAAGGTAAATTTATTTGTATAGCACAATTCAGTACAAAGACAATGCAAAGTGCTTTACATGATTAAAATATAGGAAGATAAATAAAATAAAATATAAAATGCAGAAACAAAAAAGAATATTAAAAACAGTTGGACTAAATAAAATATGTTTTAGTTGAACTGTTTAACTAGAGCAGTCGAAGGCAATCCTAAACAAATGTGTTTTTAGTCTTGATTTAAAGGAACTCAGGTATTTTAAAGTCTATTCTCTGAGATACAGGGAGCCAGTTTAAGGACTTTAGAACTGGGGTGATGTGCTCTACTTTCTTAGTCTTAGTGAGGACATGGGCAGCAGCGTTCTGGATCAGCTGCAGCTGTCTGATCCACTTTTTAGGCAGACCTATGAAAACACCGTTGCAGTAATCAATCGACTAAAAATAAACGCATGGGTTAGTTTTTCCAGATCTCAGCATGATCTGAGACTAATGTCTCAGTAAGGGTGAAATGCAGTAAGGGTGACTGCATTTTTATCATCTGAAATAAAAGATGCAGTCAGAAATGAGTCGATGATCTTCTCTAAGTTTGTTGTTAGAAACCGTTACAGCAATCTCCTGGTTTCCCTTTGAGCATGGGAAAGACGGGGCAGGGTTTCCTGCCACCTCAGACGCATCCGCTTTCCCAACACTGACTCCAGGCCTCAAGTCTCCTCCGACAGCCACACAAACACAATCACGCAGACAGATCTGCAGCGGTGCGGCCTCACAGCTGCAGAGTACGGTTCACTGTGACCCTCTCTCTACTTTAATTTCCATATCCTGGTCGCGATGAGTCGAAATCCCAGCGACGTGACCTGCTGCTCTCCGGATTTGGGTTCTTTTTTTAAGTATTGTTAGTCTAAGCAAGAGGATTTATTTTAGAGCCTTTTTATTTTTAGTAGTTTAGAACAGGAAAAGTCCAATAGAAAGATAAATTTGGAATCCAGTGCTTATGTGACGGGATGAGGCTTGAGAGAGATATTTAAATTTAAACACAAAGAAGGGGTTTGACTCTTTTATTTTTTTTTAATGCACAAAAAAACCTTCATAAAGTTTGGTTTGGTTTTCAATTCATGGATTAAAATTAACTACTGAAAGGAAGTTCTAAGATTTGCATGAAGGAAAAAGTTTGTTTGAACTATAAGGCTAAAAAAATCTAAGATTTAAAAAGCTTGTTCTTCTGGGAAGGAAACATTTATAGGGATATATTTCTCCATGTAGGATTAAGATAAGGCATTTATCTATTTTGTGGAAGAATCCATGTTTCTGATAGAAATGTTAGCATGTTTAACAGTGTCTTCCTCTATGTCTTCTGCAGCGTATCTGTGCTGATCTTCAACACAACCTCACACTGTTTTATCCTCGTCAAGCAGTTCCGTCCAGGTACTTCTTTTATTTTTACTTTCCATCTTATTTATCTCTTTCGTCACTGAACTAAATTTGGACTTTCAAGCATCCTGTGTGCACTTTCAAAAATACAAACACTACGAAATAAAGGAACCTCTGTAGAGATTTAAATTCAGGGAAATCTGAACCACGATAGACAACTTCCTCTATCTCGTTTAGAGGATTCAGTTATATGTATCTTTATACTGTCTCGCTCTGTTATTATTAGATTTCCCCTTTTTTCTCGCACCCTCAGCTGTTTACATGTGTGAGTGGGAAAAGGCCAAGACAAAGACCTCTCAGGAAGCTGAAAAAACTGAAGAGGGAGAAGCTTCTGAATCTCAAGAGGGCCCGTCGGCCTCAGCTGGAGAGAGTCCTTCCCAGTGGCCCCCAGCCTCAGCTGGGGTCACCTATGAGCTTTGCGCCGGCCTAGTGGACAAGCCAGACCTGTCGCTCGAGGAGATCGCCCGGCAGGAAGTGCTGGAGGAGTGTGGCTATGATGTACCAGCTTCCAAGCTGAAGAGGATCACTTCATACAGGTTAGCTCCTTTAGCACCGATTTTATAGACGCCCCCTAAGACATAAGATCCAGGTTGGAGACAAAAACAGAAGCACATCATCTGTTAAACCCTCTGAATCCCCCCTTTTAATTGGCTGACCATCAAAGACCCTTGTCAGACTGAAAGACGGTGAGAAGCTTAACAAATTCATCCCAGGAGTTGGAGGGCATATGAATAAACCATGAGTGCAGAATGATTCCCTTACTCATGGTTCTGAAGCACGGCGGAAATCATTTCCTGGCATAAGTAAAAATAGGGTTTCTGTATAGTGGAGGTCTTCAACAGGGGGTCCGTGACCCCTAGGGGGTCCACGGAGGAACTGCATGGGGGTTGCGAAAGTTGTTGTAGATAAGACTTTTTTTTTTTTCATATTGCCCCTGCAATTTTTTTCCATTAATTGAAATGTCTTTAAATACACATTAAAATGAACTCAATACACTGTAGTAAAAAAAATTAATGGTGACAGAAGATGTCTTTCTGTCATCAATGCACACATTCAGAGTTGCACTTTAAGTAACAGATATTAAATTTGACCAATGTTTAAATTTAACAATATGCTAAAACTACTAAAACAAATAGCTATTCAGGCCATTTATCTTTTTCATTTTCTTCTTTTCCTGTCTTGCATTTAATATTCTTTAGGAATTTTTATCAAAATTAGAGCTGGAAGTAACGATTATTTTGCAAATCGATTCATCAGTTTCCAAGTTTGAAGATGTTTCGCTTCCAATCCTGGAAGCTTTTTCTATTAAAATGTCAGATTTAGCATTGATTTCAAGGCTTTATATAGTAGCCCAAAAACTTCTTTTGGCTTAGAAAATATGCAAATTGAACCAGAAGAATCACACATCCACCCCTAAGGAATGGGGAGTCGTTTGTGTTCTTTGTTAGCCTGCAATACCCGATGCAGGTCTATGCCTCTGAAAGGGGGGTCATTAGGGGCAATTGTTGGTCTGATTTACCAGAAGGGAGGTTTCTTTTCCCCTGCATGGGGGTGGGGGTTGAGATGATAGCGGGAAGAATTTAACTCTATAGCTAAGTTGTAGGTTTTTGAGAGCTTTTGAATTTCCTTGCGGATTTGACAAATGCCCAGTTTGGGTATTGACAGCTTTGGAGTCACTGAAAAACTCAAGATAATTTTCTCTAAAAACAAAATTCCAGTACATTTCAAACCAAACAAGACCCTTAAACTGAGACTGTGCATGCTAAAGACAAAACCCCCCATTCCTAAGATGAACAGAGTGGTGTATGCGATTCAATGCAGTGAGGAATGCTCTGATCTTTATAATGGAGAAACCAAACAACCTCTCCACAGACGCATGGCTCAACACAGAAGAGCGACCTCCTCGGGACAGACTCTGTGGAACATCTACACCTCATGGACAAAGGACATTCTTTGGAGTACGAGAATATTCACATTTTGGACAAAGAGGACAGGTGGTTTGAAAGGGGTGTGAAGGAAGCCATCTATGTTAATAGAGAAAAAACAACCTTAAACGGGAGGGGAGGGGTGGACTCTGGTTTCAGCTCTCAAAAACTTACAACGCAACGATAGAGTTGATTCCTTCCCGCTATCATCTCAACGCCCACCCCCATGCAGGGGAAAAAAAACCTCTCTCCTGGTCAGCCAGACCAACAATTGCCCCTAACGACCCCCTTTCAGAGACATGGACAAAGCCAAAACAAGTTTTTGGGCTACTATAGAAAGCTTCAACTCAATGCTAAATCTGACATTTTGAATTTTAAAAAGCTTCCTGGATGGGAAGCGAAACGTCTTCAAACTTGGAAACAAAGTCCAGTGGATTTTTTTTTGGAATAACCCTGGATTACTGAGAATCTTCACCAGCAGATTAATCTGTTGTTTGATTAATTGATTAATAATCAGATAGCCAAAGATTCCTTAGAGAAGTTTTTTTTACATAATTAAACCAGGTGAAACTCAAACTTTTCCACTTGAGGAGATAGAGCATTTTGACAGATGAATCTTAAATGCAAAATGTTGGTATTTATAAAACAATTTTGGTATAATTTCTGCTCTAAGTGGGTTTGTTCTGTCAGCTAAAGGAGTTTTACAGTCTCTTTACTCCAGTTAATGATTAATCATTTCTTAAATTAGGTGACAATTATTTCAGTATTCGATTAATCACATTTAATCCAGTTAATTGTTTCAGCCCTGATCAAAGTATTAGTTTTCATCATGTTTGACAGCTAATGCAATACCTGGTCTTTTTTCACAATCAGCTGGTAAATTCTAGATTTTGTACCTAAAACATCAATAGCAGAATTGACCACATCAGCCTTTGTTATAAACGGGTAAAAATAGGAATTGCCAAGCAAAGCAAGTTCATATCAGAGATTTAAATATTTTTTAAACACGTCTGCTTACACAGTTTAGCTACAGCATGGTACTGGATGATTTTAATGAGCTGTCTGTTATCCTGAGATCCGCTGAAAGCGAAATGACCAGCATGTCATTCAGAGCACCATCATTTTTTTTTTAGCATTGAGGATTTTTCTTGGTGCAAGCAACTGTTTTATTATTTGATATCAGATTTTTCTTAGGAAAGTATAAAGCATATTGTTAAAGGAGGAAGCACAGTACAACGAGATAAAATAATGAAGCCATTTGTGTGAGGGAAACCTCTGTAATGATACCCAACTTTTAACTTCGGGAACTTCTTAAAATAATAAGCTGTGAGAGTGAGTTAGAAGGAAACCATTCATCACTGTCAACATGTTGGCTGCCTGGAGCTGCCAGGATGCGAACAGTCCCACATCTGACAGTAAAAGCTGGACAGGCGTGACTGAAAGCTAACAAAAATCTGTTTTTGATTTGACTTGAAAACCTCCTCCAGCTCCGTTGGTGTCGTCTGTGACCATTGTTATGTGCGGGCTGCTTCCATTGTGTAGAGTGGTATCATCTTAACCCACATAAAACCTATGAGGGTGTTTTTTTTTTTTTTCTTTTTAATTTTTTTTACTGTCAGAAGTCATCCATGTAGCAAAAAGCGGTCTAACCTTTAGATTTACAGGCATGGAAAGCTAAATGACTCAGGAAGTAAAAAACCCAAACAGGACATAATGGTGTTTTACTCTACAATGCTACGGAAAAGTATTGAAACCTCTAGAAAATGCCCACATCTTTTAATAAATCACAGACTGAAGCATATAAAACCAAGTACGTAGGTAATAATTGTGAAGTTGAAAAATAATCATAGATGTTTTTCTTTTTTTTTCTTAAATAAAGATCTGAACCTTGTGCAAAATCTTCGCTTTCAACTTCCTAGAGTCACTAGACTTAGACGAACTTAATTATCATTTTTTTATGCACAAAGTGAACAAAATCCGGTTGCATAGAGCTTACAACAGTGTAATAATATTTCAGTTAGAGTAAAATAAACATGAGCAATATAAAGTGCAGCAGTGAGAATCTAAACCAGGGGTCACCAACCATTTCAAGGCTGAGGGCTACTTCATGGCTATCGAATCATAGGAAGGGCTACCAATACTGACCTATGAACAAGAGGGGTCAGCGTTCACCTAAACTTCATCCAAATTAAACACATTAACTTTTAATTTCGAATTTTCCTTTAAACATTATAATTTTAAAAT